TAACTGATCCTATTCCATGTTGAGACGCATCAGCAGCTAGAATTATCGGTTTTTCCGGATTATAATGTGTTAAAATTGGTGCTTCTGATATTAATTTTTTAAATTTATTAATCACAATTGTTTCATTATTTGTCCATTTCCATGGCACATCTTTCCTTAAAAGCCTATATAATGGAGCGGCAATAGTCGAAAAATTGTTTATAAATTTTTGATAATAATTTATTATACCGATAAAAGCTTGTAATTCTTTGACGTTTTTTGGTAATGGTGCGTCTAAAATTGCATTGACATTCTTATTTGTTGTCGTAATTCCCTCTTCGCTAACAGTATGACCTAAGAATTCAATCTTTTCTTTAAAAAAATCACATTTTTTTAGATTTAATTTCATACCGTTTATTTCTAACGTCTTTAATACATTTATCACATTTTTCTTATGACTCTCAATTGATTCCCCCGTAATTATTATATCGTCCAAATATACCGCTACTCCAGGTAATCCCTTTAATAATGAATCCATTGCTTGTTGAAAAATCGCTGGCGCTGAGGCTACTCCAAACGGAAGTCGTGTGAAACGATACAATCCACTAGGCGTGTTGATTACTAACAGCTTTTTTGCCTCCTCATCTAGCTCTATTTGAAAATACGCTTCGGATAAACCTAATACTGTATATTTACACCCATTACCTAGTGTGGCTAATAATTCATTAATTCTGGGTAAAGGATATTTATCTATCAAAATATTTGCATTAACCGTTTGTCTGAAATCACCGCAAATTCGTAAAGATCCATCTTTCTTCAATACGGGTACAATTGGAGAAGCGATATTCGAGTATTTTAGTCTTTCTAAAACTCCCATGGATTCCAGTCGTTGTAATTCCGTTTCGAGTTTTGCCTTCCACGCAAATGGTATCGGTCTACTTTTCATACATTGAAACTGTGGGTTAGATTTTACCGCTAAACTGGCCTTAAAACTTCTTAGTAAACCTAATTTTTTAGTGAATAATAAGGAAAATTTATGTACAATATTATCCTCCCAAACCTCATTAACTATATTACATTGATTTATTTTTATTAATTTTAATTTGTTTATTAGGTTTCTACCTATCAAGTTAATCCCATTGTTTTCAATAATAAATTCATGATATATAACTTTATTCATATAATTAACGGGTAATATACACTTACCTTTAATATTCATCATTACATTATTATAAGATTTTAAAATAATATCCGTTTTTGTTACTGGTATTTTTAAACGGTAAACGTCTTCTATATTCAAAATGGAGACTGCCGATCCTGTGTCAATTAAAAATTTAATATAAATTTTATCTATCAATAATTTCACCTCAAATTTTTCTCGAGACTCCTCTGGAAATTCCCAATCCTCAAAACTTTCTCGCTCATTTTCTGGAACATCTATAGTTCGAATATATTCCTTCTTTCCACGATTCCTTCTGCATACTTTTTGTAAATGTCCTTTTATCCCACAATTATGGCAGATGGCATTCAAAACTTAGGTTTTATGTGATCTCCTAATCCGCAACAATAGCAAATAATTTTTGGTACTGATTTGTACTTGTCATACTGCTCCCTTGTTACTGTTTTTGAGATTTTATTTATCTCCTTCCCTGCAGATAATTTTTCATACGACAACATTTCTGTAGTCTCCATTGCGGTCGCGATTTGTATTGCACTTTCCCATGTCAAGTCCTGCGTGTTAATTAATTTCATTAATATTTTTCCATTATTAATTCCTGACACTAATTTGTCTCGCAATACTGTATTATACATATCTTTAAATTCACACGTCTTTGCCTTTATCTTTAATTTATTAATATACTCTACGATGGTTTCATCTTTTTCTTGTTCCATTTTAAAAAAATAATATCTTTCTAATAGGAAGTTTGTCTTCTTCATATAATAATTTTTTAAAAGTTTAATTATGTCATCATATAATATTTCCTCTAATGTCTTTGGCAAACACAAATTAAATAATTTAGAATAAACCTCTAATCCAATATTCGCTAATAAAAATGATTTTTTATCTTCTATTTTTGCGATTTTAAATATGAATTCCATTTTTGATAAATAAACTTCCATATTGCACTCCTTTATATTATATTTTTCCATTTGAAACGACTGCGCCATTGTGATGAAATCAATTTTTATTATAAATTTAACAACTTTTTACCTTTTGTACCGCAGTATATATATATTTTACAAAACAAACAATTAATCGTCGTACACAATTAATAATATATATATTTAAAATTCATCATATATTTAATTGCCTTTGAGGCTAATTGTTTCTATTACATTTACCTCATCACCAATGTTGTGCCAGTCACACATTGAATCTTATAGCCACTGTGGATGCCAATAGAGCCATTCAGTGTAAACAATATCAGAGGGTAAAACTAATTTTAATTAAATAAGTAATATTTTCTTCATTAGATATATAGCACAACACTACATAAATGCCAAAATATATGGAATAGGCAAAATAAGTCTCCTATTTCATCTGAGATTATTAAGGAATATATTGGTCGTTATTTTATATGTCCTAATATAACTAGATGGAACTCCACCTATAATGCCTTATAATTAATGTCAGAAATTATAAAAGCTAAATCTGACAAAGTGGACAAGATATGTGATGGAATAAAACTACCTAGGTTTTTACCTAATGAATGTGATTTTATTCATGAATATTGTTTAGTAAGTTAAAAATAATATTTACATATATAGCATTATTTTAAATTAGCTAATGAAGCCAATAGCTAATTCCCTTGATATTTTGCAGGGAGATAAGTATATGTACACAGCTTATTACTGTGCAACTATTTCACAACTTATTATCAAATTAAAGAATTTTAAAGAAATGAACCTGAGATTCTGTTTACCACTCTTAGATGCCTTACTTAAAGGGATTGAGGATAGGTAAATTAATATAATAAATTAAAAATATTTATTAATTCTAGGTTTATTGTGACCTTATTTGAAGAGGATAATATTATAGCAACCATGCTCCACCCTTTTTTTAAACTTGATTGGACATGGTTGCAAATGGAAGAAAATCTTAATAAAAGAAAACAATTGATACAAAGATTAGCTGGTGAACTATCAAAGTCATCAACTGACTGCAAGCAAATAACCTGCCAAAAAAAAAACAAATAATTTAATTTCAGATTTTTTTCAGTACCCTACAGCAGATATAATTTCTAATAATGATTTAAATTTGATAATCAACAAATTTTAAATAATTTTTTTCAAAAATGAATGTAGAGATTTTAGCATTTTTAAAGAATACCCTGATATAAAATTGTTATTTATTAAATATAACACTACAATTCCTTCAAGCGCCCCTGTGGAAAAACTATTTAGTGTTGCTAAAAATGTCTTTACAGATAAACGAGGATGCCTAAATGATCAAAATTTTGAAAATATTTTATTACTGAAATCTAATAATTATTTATAATATTTTGATCATATATTTTCTTATATTATATTAAAATCATTATTTTAGTTATATTCTGATAAATGTTATATAGCGTCAATAAATTTTTTAGCTCATTTCATGAATTTTCACAATATAATATTAATTTAGGTTTATGCAAACCTATAAGAGCATAATAAAAAATGTATCTATATACAGATACATTTTAAAATTGTATCTGTATCTTGATAACTTTTTAGACGCTGTATCTGTATCTAGATAACTTTTGAGACTATGTATCTGTATCTGTATCTAGATCCATTTAAAAAGTATCTTTTAACAACTCTGGTATTTTATATTGTTATTCTGGAAAGAAAATATGATTCAATATTTTTATCTTTTATATAGATACTTAATATAATAAATATACTGATATGTTTATTTAACACAAATACAAATTTTTACTCAATTCTTTCAATTATAATTTTTAAAATGTTATTTGAAAAGAGAATAGAAGATAAAATAAAAGTTGTTATTGTATTTTTAGCTTATATTTTTTTCCTATGCTTCTCTTCTAACTTTAAGAAATTATGCCTATATCATTTTAAACGCTTTAAGAGATATTAAAAGATAATTTAAAAAATTATCTTAAGTATGTAAAATAGAATACATGATATAGCCAGAGAGAACGTTAAAAATAGAATAGACAATTAAACCCTTTTTAAAACGACTAAAATGAAACATAATTTTTTAAATTTAAAACAATTTTGGTTTAAATTTATAACAACAATTAATTCATTTTGAATGCATCTGAACTTGGAGACAACAGTTTATTTGAATAGAGTAGTGTTGTTGAAAAGTCCGATTCGGGTCGATTTCTAAAAATGGCCCGATTAAGATTATGAGCAAAATAATATTTTACCTGGTGATTTTGCATAGATTGCAGAAAGACTTGGGCTACATGCCAAATCTTAAGGCTTATATAATATTATTTTGGCTAAGATCTTAATAGGGCCTTTTTTAAAAATCGACCCAAATGGGACTTTTAAACGAATACAATAATATTATATAATAAGTGAAACATAAATATTGAATAATTAAAATTGATAATTTTACACATTTATATTAAAAGGATATGAATCGCTTTAAAATCATAATCCACATGAATCCTTTTTAGTTAGTAATTATTTAGCGAAATTCAAGATATTCATGTTCTTACAGATGATAAAATTACAAAATTATAATTATTTAGTTATAAAATACACAAACATATCCAGGTAAAAATTTTGTCGAAGCATAAATGGAATAAAATATCCAAAAAATTAAAAAAATTAACAGATAAATATATACAACAAGGAGAATTCAATTTCCAAATTAGCAAAATAAAATTACATTGAAATTGAAATTACTAGTAAATAAGGTTCTTATGATCAAATCTAATATAAATATTATATTCAAATTCAAATTTTAATAATAAATTTAGCTTAGTGTATGTTGTATATTGTATATTGCAATAAAACCTATAAATTCAGAAAGAATTTATTAGAATTTTTTTAGAAGATAATACTATAAACTATTTTTGTCAATCATTCATAGAACCATATGCTCCAAAATTTTATTCAAATTGGCGTCGTATACATTTGATAAAATGCTATTAAAAGATTATGTACACACAATACCCTCACAAAAGAGGGACAGGTTTAATTTAAAGTCATATCAAATTTTGTTTCATTTTATATTACATAGAATTACCAATTTGAAAGCTGAATTTTTTAAATTACACTCATATTATCCAGAATTTTATGTAAGAACTCCAGGAAGAGTTAATTTGATTGGTAGAATTTTTTTATAAATTTATATAGCTTTATGTAAGGGGAGCACATCGATTATAGTGGATATGGTGTATTACCAATGGCAATTGACAAAGATATAATTGTTGCTGTGGCTAAAAGAATAGATAATGTATTAAATTTAGGCAATATAGATTCACAAACATATGCGTAAGTATAATGACATAAGTTATATAGTTATTTATGGTTTTTAAGATCTATAGTTATAAAACTAGATCCAGGATGTTTTACAGTTTTAGATAATACTAATTCCATGCAACTAAAAACAAGAAATATTATTGATCAAATAAAAATTGATTCAGATTCTCCTAAATGGCATGATTATTTTTTAGCAGGCTTCAAGGGGGCTCTTGATAAAGTTTTAAAAATTAAAGATGGCTTATCACCTATAGGTATGCTAAGCTAATTGGATTTTATAGATAAAATATTCACCACTTATCTAATTTTTAAAGTCAGACCTCTCTTAAATTATCGGCAATTTGAATTTCCCAGTTTTTGAAATTTTTAGCTTCACATAGAAAATGAAAATTATATATATTAATTAAATTATATTAAATAATGCCAGAAAATTAATATTTGGTTATATGTGAAATTCAAAATATAATCATATAATGCCAAAATTTATTTTAACTAGATGTGAATAATTTACCACATAATTAATTAAATTTTTTAAAAAAAAATATTCTGTCATATTTTTACATAGCTGTTTAAAAGAATTAAATCTAAAACATCATTTTATTTTCAGCTACATCCAGAACTCAATATATTTATAATTTATAAAATTTCAAAACTATAATGAAAGCAGCCATAAAGGCCTAGCCCAATCTGGCTTGAAATGGGCCAAAAATTGGTATGATAAAAATCCTTAAGCTTTAAAAATTAAAATGGAGTCTGGGCCAGGCTTAAAAATTATAAAATTCAGGCTGGGCTGATTTAAAATTTTTAATTATACCAATTAATTATTTGGAAAATACAGGCACATTTAAATAGTCCTTAGATGAAAAAGATTTGTTTCAACTTTTATAATACAATATATAAAACGATCAAATTTTGCCATCATTATGCAAAATGTATGTGTAAAGAAATTTTGTGAATCTTTAGTTAATTTTTATTTTGCAATATGGAAACCATTTTCAAAGAAGCATTTTACTTATTGTCTCAATGATCAAAAATCGACCAGTCTTTTTATTTAAGATCATAGTCTAAATCGATCTTTTAAAAACCGTTATCCGATCCGAGTGCATATGTCCAAACCAAATATCCATGACCTTTACTAAACATCCGTGATACATATTTTCTCCTTCAAGGGTTATCTCCTTACATTTTACGTTGGATCAATGCCATTAATAAAAGTTATTATCAATATTAAAAGGATTAAAATGTCTCATCAAGATCATAATCAGCGATATCTATTTCACATATATATATCACCCTCAATCAGAATTATTTTATTTGACATCTAATTTTATTATCTTTTTATTCAATGAGAATTAAAACACAACAAGAAATTTTGATAACATAATTTGGACCATCCATTTTTAAATTGATTTATAAAAAAGCATTATAAAAATAAAAGCATGAAAAAATAGATGATAATTGTCTAGTAGATAAAAATTTTTACAAAATTGTGTACTATTTCTGATATATAAGTACTAGAGGTCTGCAATTAGAAAATTATTTGGTATCGGCCCGTTTGGATTTAGTTTTCGACCAACCAGATCAAATTGGCCCTGCCTTCCAATTTTTTCTAAGATTGTGACAAAATCTATGCCGGGTCTGAGGCTTTTTTAAATACACGGCCTAACCCGAAATATATGTAGTTGAAGACCAAAATAAACAAATATTTATAATAATGGGGAGTGGTTAAATTAAAAACACTATATTTTATGGATTAACATTTCTATAAATATCAGGAAATCAATAAGCCTAATTAATAACCCTACATAATATCTCTTATTTTTATCAATAATGATTTATTTGACCATGTTTTAAGATAAGATGAAAATTCAAGATTATGATAAAAAATTATGAGCAAAAAATAGTAATAATGTAGATGTATTGTCTCCCTTCATTAAGGTTACATTTTTTGCCACGCCCGCCCGTTATACTTTCTTCCCCGCCTCACCTCAAATTTATTTTTTCTGATTATGTCCAGCCCTGGCTTTTGATCTACTAGCCTGGCCGGACTACAGATCTCTAATAAGTACTAAATTAATTTGTTTAATAAAAACTATTTTAAAAATGGCGAAAAATTAAAATCTCGTTTTTTAAAAAAATATGAATTTTATGTAATTATGTAAATTATATTATGAAGTCAAATAAAATAAAGGATTCTTAAAATAGCCTTAAAAAAATATAACAAATAACTTGATCACGTCAAAAATAATCTGAGGGGGGGGCTTTAAAATAAATATTCATTTACTTCTCATATTTTCTATTTCTATTTGAAACAATTCTGCAAAATAAAATACAGCCAGACCAAAATTATTTTAAGATAACGGAATTTTAAAAATTCTTGTCCTAGCCGAAAAGTTATGATAAATAAAAATCCAGGCCGAACCAAATTTCTAAAAAATTCCGCACCATGCTTGGAAATTTTTGATTGTTTCCAAATACGGGACGGGCCTAAAATTTTAACCTCTGGAGGTGTCCAAATAAAACATTCATTCATTCATTTTTATTTAAATTTAATTTACTTTTCAATTCATGAATTCCATTCCCATGCCACCTCCTAGAATAAAGTTTTATCAATGCCTATCTAATTTATCTAATTTTTTAAATTAATATATATTTAAGGAAAATATACATATTTTGCTAAAAACTTATTTAAAATTGTCTGAGGAGCATTCATTTAAAAAGACTAGTTTGCTTTACCCTAACTATTAATTCTGCCATATTGCCATATCAAATGCCTTGTAACCTTTAATATATATATATATAATAGTTCCTAAATAAAATAAAACAATATTTAAAAATAGTGACATCTAATGTCTCCTTTCATCTTTAAATGTTATAATAATATAATCACCAACTCGAATAAAATTATTATATTAAATCTATTTAAAAATTAAACATTTGATTTATTAATTAGGGCTGAGTATATTAATATCCTCTAATCTACCCGCCTGTTCCGGCCTTTCCAGTTCAAGTGCCCTTGTTTGCGCCGCGACTCTTTCCACTCTATTTGCTCACGGATTTTGCCTTGATAGAGTAAAGGGCTTCATTCATTTTAACTATAATTTTTAATTTTCTCATCTTTTCCTTAAAAATTATTGAGTTTCATCACTTGATTGTTTTATTAATGCTTTACCCAAAGAAGGTCAAAGATCCTGAGTGGGACATTAGGAGTTTTTTTGGGACGCGTCTCGTTAAAAACTGAACTGACTTTTACCCTTCTCTAACTTTTTCTTTTAAATTTGACAAAAGTGCCCGTAAAAAAATCATTCGAATTAGAATTTTTAGAAAGTATAAAATTATATAGTACATTAGTTGTGAACGCGTAGCCAGCGAGAGGTGACAGTGAGACAAATCTTCCCCTCACCATTCCATAGTCAAAAGATGCAAATCGTTTATAAAATATTTTTTGGAAAAATATAATAGGGGTTACTTTCGTGAATTGTAAAGTATACCTATTTCAAAAAAGTCATATTATAGTTAAATTATAGTAGCTAGTTTGATATTCAGAATTTAAACTAGGACATCCTATTTTAGTTTGTTTTAAGTGTTTGTGGCATTGTTATTTTTTGCTTTTTAAATTTTTTAAATTATTTTTATAGACAGTTTGGTCGAATCTATTGCCTGCCAAACAGCTCTGTTTAGTAATAAGTCATGCATCCTAAATAATGACGGGCCTACGGAATTTAATCAGCCAAAAAATAAAAAAATTTAAAAGTAAAGATAAATTAATCTAAGAAATATATTACCCAAACCCAATAATAGTTACCAAAAATTATATAAAAAAACTGAATCATCACAACAAACAAATGTACCATTAATCCTCACAAATAAAACTATTGAATAAAGAAGAATTTAATAAGATAGACAAGAAAGAAATTAGATCGACAGGACATAAACTACGAGAATCGCTGATATTATTATAGTAGAACTTAGAAAAATAAAAGATAATTTCGAACTAAATTTCGCAAGATATATGCGATTGTTAAAGCGAATAATGATTTTGGAATTCAATTGACGATTTTTTTACGACATAACCGTCTTTATACGACTTTTAGATGCATTCTTGACCTAATCAATAGATCTGTGATTCATCATATGATATCCAATTTATATACTATTTAATAAATTTTAAATTTTATTGCTTCAAAAAGACAAATAATTGCTTCAATATTTACCAAATTTATCTCTTGCCACCCCACCCCCCCTCCCACACCCCACCCATAGGAAAACTTCTGGCTACGCGTCGTTGTAACTATATAAAATATTTTTATTTTATAACTAATATACTAAATTTATATTGATTTTCAAAAATTAACAGCTCATTTTTGTGTTTTTTTTAATCAAAGACAACCAAGAAAATTAAATCCAAAATTATGCGAATTCAACGGTAAAAAATATCGGTAAAAAATATAAGCCATTTTTAATCTAAAATAATTCGCTAAGTTTTGTGATTCTTAAAAGTTTTACGTATTATGAAATTTTTTTTCATTATATCAATAACTTTGTAAATTATATAATTTTTGCCAGGAAAATATCTAATAATATAAAACATAGAATTAATAAATCATTCACATCAAGCATTTTTGAACTTAAATGGAGAATTTAACAATACTTTTGAAAATTTAATAGAAGAATCGGGACATGTTTCGTATCTCTCAAAACTCACGAAAGTTATGCATTTCTTAAAACTTTAGATAAGTTTTTTATATATTTAGGCTACAGCCTTAAATGTATATTTAAGTAGTATTTAGAGCTTTTAAAAATATTTTAAAGTATTTATAAGAAGCAAATTATAAAAGGTAGAATTCTAATATCAAATTTCATTTTTTTCCCCGCGTATAAAAATTTTAATTTATAATAAAAAAAACTTATAAATTTTTTTAAATTTGGGAAATTTTTGAATTGAAATGGGCAAAGAAAATTCACAATATGATAATACGATCTGTATTCCTTACACATTTTCAACGAAAGGGATGAAAAGAAATAATCAAGCGATAAGAATATTTACTGCATATTTTTTAACAATTTTAAATAAATTTGATTCGTAATTTAACCTTAGCTGGAAATGGCGGAATTGTGTGCTTTGAACGAAAGATACATAGGAACGGTCGGCGGGGGCATGGACCAAGCCATATGCTTTTTATCCAAAGAAAATCAAGTATTTAAAAAAAATATGGGAAGAAAAGAATGAGGGGAAAAAATATTGGGGTAGATTTAAAAAAAAGGAGAGAAAAAATAATAGTTCTTTTTAACTAATATGAGAAATAAGGTCGGTTTCCTTGCCAATTAAAGGCCCTTGACGATTATGTGGTGAGGGGCCGGGCATAATTCATGTACGTTCTTCTCGAGACGGGTCAACGTGCTAAATAAATGAATGAATATAAGAAAGAAAAGTGAGATTAAATGATTTTTTTTTCGAATTAAAGGCCACATTGATAGAATTTGACCCTGTTCGGACTCGACCAGTCAAGCTACCTCTCAATTATTCCTTCGTGATTTCGAATAGTTTAGTGCACATGGACAAAGGCAATACGCCGCATTACAATATACGAGTGAGTGAATGCAGAATAGGAGCTCAGGTTTTTTTAAAAAAAATTTATTTTAAACTATGTTTTAAATTTTTTTTTGGTTGGTGAAAATTTATGATTTTGATATGACATTTATTTATAATGAATAGAGGGCTACTCGCTAATGAGTATGGCAAAAATAAAATAAAAACGTATGCTAAAATAATGATATTAATTATGTTTTTTTATACGCAATCGCAGATCGTTTACCACCAGTTGAAAGACGGTGACGCCGATTGGCGAAGCATAAAAAATATACATCACTTCCAGGAGTTATTGGGAATCACCGACTTGAAGGAATTGGCTCGCATTTTCTCCGAACACTTGAGTCCGAAACCTTATAACGAGAAGGAGATTTGCCAACTGTTGGGCCTTCAAAACCGGCATGATTTCATGCAATATTGCTTGAAAGGGAAATTTTTGCCAGGTAAAATGTTTGAATTTAATTAAGTATCGATATCGATTTTTTTATCACCATTTTCTTTTTTTCCAAAAAATGGGTCAGGTTTTTTTATGGCTTCATTTTAGATTAGGTTGAGATTTATGACTTGATATTAATAAATATTTTAAGCTGCGCCTTTTTTTCAAGTATTTTTTTTGTTAGAGTATATCGTTTTAGTAATTACTTACAAAATATTATTTAATAATAAATGGTATGCGGATACGATTTGTAAATGAATTTTGTTTTTCCTTGTAAATAAAAACTAATTTATTTTCTTAATAAAATTTCAAGGTCGAATTATAAATTTATTGTGCTAAATAAAATATTATTTAATAAGTGTAATCTAATATAATCAATTTTCTGATAAAATGTTTAAAAAAAAATTGAACGATCATTTTCGACATTAGATTATAAACATCATGTCTAATTATTACCAAAATGAATACAGTTGTAGAATGCATGCCGAATTAAAAATTAGAATCGTTTTTAAAATCATAAACTCGCGGATTTTTTGCTAAATTGTTTTTTTCATCGATGATTTTAAGACACGGGACTTTTTAAAGTGCTAGACCGATGCCTCCACGTTTGCAACGAGGCCCAGAGAGTGTTAGATTTTGAAGCACTTTGCTCGGATTCACTCGAGACCGAATCAAGGAATGTAGAAATGTTGGGAGAAAAGGAGAAGGCTTCGAAACTGGGGGAGCTCATGAATGCCAGTCACGAGAGTTGCAAAGAGCTGTTCGAATGCAGTCACCCTTTGCTAGATCGATTAGTCGATGTTTGTAGGTATATCAAAATTTTTTATTTGTGTGCGCTTTTTTGTTGTAAAATAGAAGAACGAGAAGAGAATATAAATAAAAATTGAGGCACATATAAAAAATAAAACGAATAAAGAAGGATAGAAGAAGAAAGAAAGAACGAAAACAAATATAAGAAAATAGAGAAATCAATAAGAGAAGATTAGAATGTTCAGAAATGGAATTTTAAAAGTAGTTTTTAAAATTATAGTAGGGTAGGGCTGAGCAATCCTTTTTGGATGTTCCGATTTTGAATTAATTGGTTTTCAACATTGTGAATATTTTGCTTTTTTAATTCGAAAACTTTTAATTATATTTAAAGATGTAAAGCTGTGCTATGCGAATTCAAGGTCTTCAATGGGCGGGTTTTAGCCAGCAACCCTCCCACTCGTTGTTTTAAAATTTTTTAACCCGCCCGCCCACTCATTTCTCCCGAAAGTGTTTAAAATATTATAGAAAGCTCGCCCATTGGGCGGGGGGGGGGTGGATAAGAAAACCCCACCCATTGCAGATACGAGTTATTTATAAATTATTAAATTATAAAAAAAAATTACAAAAATTGAATCTAAAAAAATTGAATTATTTTTATATAATATATTAATTTTGAAATAAATCAATTTGTATATTTCTTTGAGAATTTATCTGTGCGAAATGTTTTAAATGAAACTATCGTCTTTATAATTTCACTGATACATCTAATTTTTCTTCTAAATTTTTTTACACGTAATTTGTCCTTTTCTTCCTTAACCTTTGCATCATTTTGTTTTTTTTTCTGTTAAAATTTTATTTAATATTTTAAAACATCTTTAAAGATTTATTTTCTTTCTAAATTTTTGATTTTACCTCGAAAGATTTATAAAAGATTTTGGCAATTTTAGGGAAAATTTGATCAAAAATCTTTCTTCTTCACTTTTTAAATATATATTTTCTCTTTTTAAAAGTATAAAGATTCAATTAATCAGTTAGAGTTTATAATTAAATTTATTAATTATATATAAAACTTATATCTGTATGTATTTACGGCATAATATATCAAATTTAAATTTCTTGTTTCAAAAGTTTTAAAAAAATATATTTGAAAACTATCAGGTTATTATTGGTATTATCAATCCATATCTTAAAGGAAAATATTTTTTTTCAAGTTGGAAATTTTCACCTTTTTGGAATTCAGATTGTATTTCGTTATAAATTCAAACTATTTCTTTTTAAAACCAAGTATATTTTTTGAAATTTGAAACTTGTTATTTCCTAATCCTACTAAATAGAAATGAAGGAATTAATGAATAAATAAAATTTAAAAAAATATTTATATAAAATATGTAAAGAGAGAAAGGAGCTTTGGGGAGCAGGCTGACTGGGGCTGGTTGGGGAGGCTGCTGCGTTAGTCTTATCGAAAAGAAAAACGTCGAAAATTTTATTAAAGATGTCGCTGAATCTTTTTACTATAAGTTGGAAGGACAAAATTCCGAAACGAAGATGGATTTAGAAAACGTTATTTTCGGAACAGAGCCCAGTTACGGCGCTTGCATATACTTGAATTTATAATTTAAAAGAATTATAATGATTTTTTGAATATGTTTTGTATATTTTGTTAAAAAGTATTTTCTACCAAAAAATATTATATAAATGTGATTTTATAATATGTATAGTGAAATCTTGTCAGAAGCATACATCAATTTTTTTATTATAAATTTTTTTTTGAAATCATTTTTTGCTATCTATACATAAGTTGTTTAATCAATGTTAATTTTTAATTTAAAAAAATTATTTCAAAGGGCCAAAAACTTACACGTTTTTATAGTTGCAGCTTAATAGAATTTAGACTGGATTTCACTGTATGTAGTATTTTAGACCAAATTTGTTAAAATATATGCTAAGATTTATATATAAAATTATATTATTTACTGGGTTTCACGCAATACATCTACATTTAAATTCTCCACACCCCCAATTAAACATATATTATGCTTTAAAAAATATTCCAAATATTGATTCCTACCCACTAGTATAATGTGACCAAAATATTTTAATATTTTTATTATTTATATTTAAATTTATAATATATTTTGTTAGGAGTAATAAAACTTATTTGTAATAAGTGTAAGAAATCTACCAATAAATAGCCATTTTAAATTGTAGTTTTCCTTACCTGGTAATCATTAACCTCTCAAAAATTTCATTTTAATTAGTAAATTTCTTATGCTCGTCATGCGTTATAAGCTCACATGACTAAATTTAAAATAATTATGTCAGAGATAGATAAGCTAATACTATTTTTAAAGCTGATGTCGATACTTTGAAAGTACCAATTGAATACTTTATAAAAAATTTATATTTGGTGTATATGGAAGTTAGAAAAGTTAAAAAATTTATAAATATCTTTATCTGCTTTTTCTCCAAGCTAAGGCCTGAGTTCAAATTCTGGCCAAGTGATATTGATTAATTAATTGATATTTAAATTTTTATGCACAAAAAATAATCAATAATTAATTGATATTATATAATTTAGAATAAGTATTATATTTTTTTTAAATAAAATTAACCAGAATACTATTGGCAAGAATATTTATGCTTAGTTAACATCGTGTTATCCACTTTAAAAAAAAATCTTAGAGCATATCTTAACATTTTGCTTCAAATGATATTAGAAAGCATAAAGATTATTTAAAATAATTAATAATAAATTGTAATGGTATCTTTTAAAAATTAAAAAGTTTGGCCGATAATATCTTTTGCATCAAGATATTAAAATTTTTTGATGATTATTTGTATAAGATATAAAGTAAATCGTGATTCTTTTCCAATCAATTATACGAGTTCAAATATGATTGATATATCAGGCCAAGACTAATAAGCCAGTTCCAAAATTAAATATTATTTTTTAGCTTGTTATTTTTAAGCTTGGTCATATTTTTAAAAATTTTGATCATTATATGGCTTAACCTGGATTTTTTACATTTGTTTATTTTAAATATTTTTAGTTATATTCTGTAAATTATTTCAAAAGGTAAATTAAAGATGCTAATCTTTGCTTGAATTTTTTTTAAGAAATATGGCTCGCCTGGAGTTTTGTATTTATTCTTATGCGGATGTTGTATTCATCACTGATTCTTTTCCCACCTTATTTATTACCTTAATTATGGATTAAAATGTAATCGGTAAGAAAATAAAAAAATTTTTCCTTCATATTTTGCATACCCCCTGAAATATATTATTAGTTAATAATAAAGTGGTGGAGAGAGTCTTAATTATCTTGGCATGATGCTTTTATATATTTTCCAGCGAATTCTCGCTTACTGCGAATGCAGGAAAATAAAGAATCCAAAGCGATTTTTCGATTTTATTTATTTTTAACCAAAGTCTGCAAGTTTAAAATTAAGATTATTTAAAAGTTTAGTTATGTCTATTCTGTCTAGCGATCTGCAAGCCTGGGTCGATCCCCTTAAAACAATTTACTTAACTTGCCCGGCCCGTTAAATTTTTGGCACAGCCCGTTAAAATTTTACGAAAAGTTCGTCCTTAACATTTTTAGGTAAAATTTGATCAAAAACTGTAATAATTTTTAATTACATAGAGTGCTAATATATCAATTATTTTATGTATGAGTGGGGACGGTGTTTCCAGTCATGATTTGACTCTGACTTATTCTTTCATATCTCATTTTTCACCTCTTACTTTTTTTTATATCATAATCACTTTCAACATTTAAATTATTTATAATGTTGTAGTCCATATTAAATCAACCAAAAAAGTCGATTTTCAACCCGACCCCCTTCGATTCTTTTAAAAATTTGCAGTAGTATATACACTAACTAATAAAAATGTAAAATTTTACTTTTCAAATCGCCTTACTTCATGAGATATAGCCATCTTTAGAAAGGCGGAAATTCCAAAATACACTATATTTAATTTTAAATATCTCAAAAAGTAATTAAGCTAAAGACATGATTTTAATTGTATTAAATAGCTCTAGAATAGCTCTTTATTATGATATAAAATTTATTTTATTGAAAAAAAGTATATTACCAAAAACCAAAAAAGGTTATAAAATAAAAATTGCTATTTTTTTTTCTTTTAAATTTTTTTTACAGATAGACATAATACTTTTTAATATTTGTACAAAATCCTAGATTGGGACGAGTACTGGGCCAAAAGTTTTTACACTTTAAATATAAGTAGTATGGCTTAAATCATATATTATACCAAATGTATAGTAATTTACGAAACAAATAAAAAGAAAATTCGTTTGGGATCGGGCCGGATATATTTTTTTATAAATCTTCTGGCCGTGGAAAAATTAGGCCCTAGCAGATCACAGGCAGACATTGTGTCACATTTAGCACATAAGTTTAGCTATTTTATTTTAGAAGGAAAATAATTGTAAAAATATTTATAACTTTATTTAGCTAATTAATGGGAAATTAATATTCTAATAAACATATTATTAAATAATATCATTCATTAAATAATCTAATAAATTAGAATAAAATTTGACTTTCATTTTTCCTTCCATTGGAATAAATGAATGATATTTTTGTGTCCCGGAAATTCGTTTGGCCATTAAAAATCTATTTTCAAGATTGATTTCCATTCTTAAATATTATACGTTGCTAACAAATACATAATTAATTCCCGGGATATTGATTCTCGCATAATTATATAAGTCAATAGGAGTTATATGATTTTCATGAGGACGTTGCAGGCTTGCTCTAGCCGCCAACCTCTTAGTAATTCCTCCTAAACTATCGCATGAAGTTTTGCCATGTGCAGTTGCAAAAAAATGCCATTCTGCCTTGATCCCAAAATCATTATAATGGTTGTAGAGGTTTACAAAGTTATTTTGTTTTTATACTGGGTAACAGCTCCATCAGAAAAATAAAATATTATTGAAATATTATCAAATCTTTCTTTCAAGAATAGAATTAATTTTATTTGAAATAAATAAAAGGAACAAGTATTGTGTTTGAGACAATCTGATATAATCAAGTAACTGAAATGTTTGATGATATCGCCTTCGCGGTAATAAATCATAAATGGATGAAATGTTGCCTGATTATTAATTCAATGGAAACCTTGAGCGTGATCTTGAACTACAAAAGAGTAGTTCTCTGCAAAATCTGATATTATTAGATATTCCCCATCTCAAATTCGATTTTAATGATTTAAAAAATGAAGATTGTTCCGAAGAAATAAATGCATGAGGAATTAAAATATTTAATTTTTCAATCTAATACTCAACAAATTCGTTAGCGGACTTTGTTAAAGTTTCGAGTGTGGTACGGCCAACCATTGTTTAAATGTTATATAATCTATGGCATTATTATCAAATAATAAGTGTAATCTTTCTTTAAGTTCCAAAGTGCCGGGACACATTTGGCATTTCCTTAAGTAACAGCAATCCTGGGCTGGATTGTATAGACTTTGTGCAATGTAGTGTTTATAATCTTTTAAGGGAGGAAATGGAAAGTTATGCTGGTTTGCAGTTAACTTATCTAATTTACCACCAATTATAATTAACTTAAAATTTTGATGAAATGTGCAGATGCACATTGTATGCGTTCCAGACCCGCTGCTAAAATACAGTTTTTTGGTCTCATGATAGCAAATTTGCTAAAACCTATCTTTATATTACTATTTATTTCTTTAAAATTGGTAAATAATTCTTTTATATTACATAAAACTAATCTCTTTTGCACTTCGTTCTTTTTTCCATTAACTTTCATTGATATAAAATTATTCATACCTAGCATAAGTCTGCTGTTTTCATCAGAATTATAAAATTCTATTACTTTATTTGCAACGTCATTCGGAATTATTCTACTTGGTTTTATGCGTTATATTTAAAATAATACAATACAATTTGGTAAATGTTGTTTTGAGTTTTTTAACATTTAATAAATGCAAAATAATCAGATTTTTTAGGATTTTAGTTTTAATGCTATTAGTCACTATATTGCCCACTTTTTTAAAAAAATAATTACTCTATATTTGGTATAATATATAAGCCATACTTCATATATTTAAAATCTAATAACTTTTGGCCCTATACTCGTCTCAATCTAGGATTTTGTACTAATTTTAAGATGTATAATGTCTATCTGTAAAAAAATTTAAAAGAAAAATAAGTGCAATTTTTATTTTATAGCCATTTCCGGTTTTCTATCTACGGTTTTTGGTAATAGACTTTTTTTCAATAAAATAAATTTTATGTCATATTAAAGAGCTATTCTAGAGCTTTTAATAAATTTAAATCATGTCTTTAGCTTAATTACTTTTTGAGATATTTATAATTAAATATAGTGTATTTTGGAATTTCAGCATTTCTAAAGATGACCATATCTCATGAAGTAAGCTGAGTTGAGAATTAAAATTTTATATTTTTACTAGTTATAGTGTATATACTACCATCATACAAATTTTAAAAATAATCGAAGGTTAACGATGCTTACTACCAAGTGAATGTATGGAAATATTCTAAATACCAACCTAATTTGCTAAATACCGACCAAAATTTATTAAAATGTAATAAGACTTATTATTTAATGTATTATAATGGAATCACGTGGTCGAGTCCGGCCTCCTATATATCATCCCCACAAGGATGGAACCACCAAGTTAGAATAAGAAATAAACATAATCATTACCGGGATTCAAACCCGTGACCATAGGATCAGTAAGCGAAGCTCTTGCCGACTAGGCCATAGAGGCTTTCCAAAATAACGATTTTTCAAATATATATTATAAATATATTTGGTAGTGCCTATCCAAATGAAAAATAAACAAAATTCAAATTTGATAGGTAGTACCTTATTAACCAAAATCGAAGGGGGTCGGGTTGAATCTTCAGTTGATTTGATATGGAATACAACAATATTAATTATGATATATATATTTTATATTGTGCTGGATTATAATTTTGTATAATTGAGCCGTTTAAAAGCTATTTTTTGCTTAAAAAACGGTTAAAAATATATATTATTTTTGGGGAAAAACTATCACCTTAACTTGGGGTTGTCTTAAAAATATAGTTTAACTTGGGTAGAGCAGAAATAAATTATCCCGTTCAATGCTTAGCAGATTTTCCCGGCTGCCTATGGTAGATTAGACCAAAGAAAATATTAATTAGTTAATAGTGAAA